GAGAGACAGAGAGCACATGAGAGGGGGGAGGGTCAGAGGGAGGAGCAGACTCCCTGCAGAGCAGGGAGCCCGATGCGGGACTCGATCCTGGGACTCCAGGATCATGACCTGAGCCGAAGGCAGTCGCCTAACCAACTGAGCCACCCAGGCGCCCCTGTCCTCTTCATGTTTGAGGGCTAGGTCATTGTCTTATTTAGTGCAAAATATATTAGTATTTTACCATCAAAGCTCAAAAAGGTATACATAAGTCTGGTTTGTTGAAACCCTGAAAGCCAACAATGTGAAATATAAGGGCTTTTTGATTTATAGAGGGAGAGGAATTCTTTCCTCTAGCACTTCGGTTTGGGGCTTTTAATAGAAAAAGCTGCTGCTGGTGTGTTTTGGAAGTGCTGTTTCTTAGCAGAGGCAGGCTGACCCTAGCGTGCAGGCAGGGCAGAGCTCTGGCAGGGCTTGAGGAGGATGGAGATCCAGGAGAAGAAGGGGTTGGTGGTTGCTCTAAGAGGCTTGAGTACTTCAGATTAGAGGGCCTGAGAGAGGTTCGTGTTTTGATTTTCTTGCCTGGCTACGACAAGTGGGAGCACAGCCCTCACTTATCAATAGCATTATGGTTGTTTTAATGAGAGTGACATTCTGGTGGTTTGGGTCACTTAGCTTCAGATCATGGCTTGGTCATTCACTTAAGTTTTCTAACCTTTTAAGTTATTTTAGTTCCCTCATTTATAAGGAATAACAATAGCTACCTCAGATTTTTTTGAGAGAAGATAATGTACAGAAAGTGCTGTGTGCTAAGTACATAGTAGGCACTTCATAGTGTTAGTTTTCTTTACCTTTCAGAATTCTGTCACTCATGAATTTTCTTTTTTTTTTTTTCCACTCATGAATTTTCAAATGAATCCAAGTTTTACAAAGAAAACTTGAAGCTGTTAAAAGCATATAGCTTTCTGGGTTATATAAATACCTCTTGTAGTCTGTTGATTTTGTGTAACTTCTTTGATTATTCTACTGCAGTAAACACACATACTGCCTTGAAGTGGTCAGATTCATCACATTGTATTGAGTATTCTGGATATACAATCGTTTAGGAATGAATAATGCAAAAAGATAGTTACCTTGGAAACTCTTTATATTTGTATGGTTGTATGTTGTGTTGCATATCTTTAGTTCTTTCCATTAATCATAGGATATTTTTGAGCTGAGAAATCTTTATAGAAGATTTTTGAACTGAACCCCACTTTACTGACAAGTTATATGTAAAGTTTCTGCACATTAAGCCACATCTTTACTGATTTTGAGTATAAAGTTAGAGATAGGTTCTCAAAAAATATTTAACTTCGGGCACCTGGGTGGCTCAGTCGGTTAGGTGTCTGCCTTCAGCTCAGGTCATGATCCCAGGGTCCTGGGATTGAACCCTGTGTCAGGCTTCCTGCTCAGTGGGAAGCCTGCTTTTCCCTCTCCCTCTGCCTGCCGCTCCCCCTGATTGTGCTCTCTCTGTCAAATAAATAAAATGTTTAAAAAATATTTAATTTCAAGTACTAGAAAAACTTAAGGATGAAGCAGACCTTTAAAGTAACATTTTTAGAAAAATTTTTTAAGTGATCTCTCCACCCAGCGTGGGACTCAAACCCATGACCCCAAGATCAAGAGTTATATGCTCCATGACTGATCCATCCAGGCGCCCCTAAAATAACATTTCTTAATGGAAAAATGCTTACCTTCTGCTGAATTAGTCTGGTCTACCATTTTGCTTAAGTCTCTAAAGAGCATCTTCAAAATATTCTCAACTATCTACCTACGTGTAAAATTAGAAATCTGTTCCAATTTAAAGCACCAAAGAATACAAAGTTCACATATTCCCTTTGCTATTATCACTCCAGCTCTACAGAAACTGTGTTAATACAATTAAGCTTTATTAGTCAGGGTTCTCTAAAAAAACACAGCAAGTAGAATATATATACATTTAGAAAGAGAAAGAGGTTTATTGTAAGGAATTGGTTCATACGATTATGGAGGCTGATAAGTCCCAACATCTGCAGTCAGCAAGTTGGAGACCAAGAGTCCCAGGAGAGTCAGTGGTGTAATTCCAGTCCAAGTCTGAAGGCCTGTGAACCAGGAGAGCGGATAGTGTAGTTTTAGTTTAAAGACTAGCAGGCTTAACGCTCAGGAAGAGCCTGTATTTCAGTTGGAGAGCAAAGACAGGAGAAAACCAATGTCCCAGCTTAAAGGCAGACAGTAATTCTCTCTGACTCAGGGAGGGTCAGCCTTTGCTTCTATTTAGGCCTTTAGCTGATTGGACGAAGCCCATCCACATTAGGGAGAGCAGTTTGCGTTACTCAGTCTACTGATTCAAATGCTCATCTCATCCAGAAATACCCTCACAGATACATCTAGACTAATGTTTGACTAAATGTATGGGCATCTCATGGTCCAGTCACCTCGACACATAAACTTAACCATCACAACATATATCAAGACTATGATTGTCCTCCACGTATCACCCTTTTCCCTCACGTTCTTAAGATGCTTGTAGCAGTACAGGTATCCCCTTTGACAGATTCAAGTACAAAGGCAGGGGGTACCTGGGGGGGCGCTGCCGGTTAAGCATCTGACTCTTGCTTTCGTGTCAGGTCCTGATCTCAGGGTTGTGTAATTGAGCCCCTCCATTGGGCTCCATGCTCACTGCAGAGTCTGCTTAGGACTGTCTCTCCCTCTCTTTTATACACACCCCCTCCCTGCACTCGCTCACGCATTCTTTCTCTCTGTCCCTCTAATAAATCTTTAAAAAAGCACAAAGGCAGAAATGAATGAGTTCTTGTTCTGGTCTCCTTTTATTTATTTATTTATTTTTATTTTTTATTTTTTTTTTAAAGATTTTATTTATTTATTTGACGCAGAGAGAGAGACAGCTGGAGAGGGAACACAAGCAGGGGGAGTGGGAGAGGGAGAAGCAGGCTTCCCGCGGAGCAGGGAACCCGATGCGGGGCTCGATCCCAGGACCCTGGGATCATGACCTGAGCCGAAGGCAGACACTTAACGACTGAGCCACCCAGGCGCCCCTCTGGTCTCCTTTTAAAGAGCACTGGGGGAAACTTTGGCAGAAGCTGACTTCCCCCTAGGCATCAGACATCATTGGCTAGGATGGTGATCACCTGCCCAATCTGCCATGGAGAATATTACCATGACTGAGAGTTGACTCCAGAGCCCATCCTGCCTCCCTGCTGTACCTGTTAGGGCAGATGCTTGCTCTGCCACTACCTGACTATTGGAACCCGGACCGGTTACCTACTTAGCCCCTCTCTGCCTCAGTTTCTTCACCTTTAAAGATAATGGTAGTACCTATGTCATAGAGTGGTTGTGAAGATTAAATGAGTTAATGTGTGAAAGTACTTAGAAAAGTACCTGGCACCTAGTAGATGCTTAGTAAAGGTTAGCAGTTGTTGCTGCTACTATTATTGGCCACATGATCTTGGTCAGTTTACTTAACTTGCAGTGCTAACTCTGGTCAAATTATGGACATCTTTGAACTAGACTGTTGTTATAGTTTCCTAACTGGTCTCTGCTTCTACTTAAAAAATATATATGTAATAACTTTATTGAGCTATAACTCACATACCGTACAATCCATTCATTTCTGCTTCTATTTTGCATTCCTACCATCTTATTTTCTATAGAAGTAATCTTTTAAAAAATCATGTCATGCTATTGATCAACACCTACTTGTTCTTAATCCTATTTGTAAGTCTACACTGTTTACCATGGTTTATAAGACTCTGAAGGATCTGGTTCTTCCTCTTCTTTCCAACTTCATCTTATGATATACTCTATTTTGTTTATGTAAATTGGCCACATAAACTTATGTTTTCTCCCTCAAAAATGTAAAGCTTTTTCCATTTTCATTTGAGGGTTTTTGCAAGAGCTCTTCTCTACCTGGGGTGTTCTCCCAGATCTTCCTCAGGGCTGACTCCTTTTGGCATTCAGGTGTCAACTTAAATGTCCCTTTCATAGGAAGGCTTTTTCTTACAACTCTTAGGAGTCCCCAGTCATTTCCTAGCATTGTGCTTTTTAAACTTTAATGTGCATATGAAATGCCTAGGTATTTTGTTATACTGCACATTTTGATTCAGACCCCTGGTGTGGGGCCCAAGATTCTGTTTTTCTGTTAAACTCCCTGGGGATGCCCATGCTGTTGTTCAGAGACCCTAGGATATCACTTTTATTTTCATCAGTGTACTGATCACTGTCTGTTCCTTTCTTTAATTTTTTGTTTCTTTTCCCCTTGACTGGAGTGAAGGTTCCACAAGGAAAGGAATTTGTTTTTAGTGTTTTTTTCCACTGATAGTACCTCAGATGTAGTTGGTTTTCAACAAACAGTGAATGAATGAACAAATTTATCCATGGATTTTTTTGGTTATTTGTATAATACGATTATTATGAGGATTAATAAAAATAATTATGTTGTTACTTACCCTAGTCCCTGGCACAAAGTGAGTGCTCAATAAAAATGAGCTGCTATTAATAGATTTTCCTTCTAAAGCTCTAAGTTTTGGCAGTTCTTTAAAACAGTGGTTCTTGACCAGTTTTTGTTCACAAACTTGTTTGAAAATTTGAAGGAGGCTATAGTATGTTTAGAGATCTTGCCTCAGAAAAAATACACAATAACACACATACATACACATAATTTTCTTTTAGTAGGCTCCCAGACCTCTCCTCCCCGACCGCCGCCATGGACCACAAGTTAAGACCTTTTTAAAAAAAGAACTGTGTGTTATATAACAACTTTTGTCAGGGCTATTGGTGACAATTTGCCTTTTTCTAATTTCTTTTATAATTGTGCTGTTCAGTTGCCTTTTCTTTCTGCATTATAGGCTACCTATGTGCCATTAAGACAAGTGTAACTGTGGTTTATTATTTATTAATGTAGTGAGATTAGTTAAGTGGGGCATATTAGCTTGTTGACTGCAGAACTAAAGAAAAATTTTTTTCTTCCAAATTTCTGTCTTAAGATGAAAACTTAAGAATTGGGGGAGAAGAAACCCAACTCTTGCTCAGCTCCGGTCCTTGGGAACACAGTTTGGGCCAAGACACAGACAGGGACAGGAGCCAAAGAGAGGTTCTCCTGTGCAGAGAGCCAGGTACCAGTGAGTATGTTGCAATCCTGGAAGTAATTCTGCAAATTGCACTGTTGAAAAGGAACCGATATTCAACCTACTTCGGGTGAATCCAGCAGAATCTTCCCTCCAAGCACTCAACGCTTCCTCAATGACAAGATTCCGGAACTTGAATGATGTCTTTCCTCTTTCTGAGGACTATTTTGGATCTGACTGGATCAGGATGTGGAAGTGGCTCTGGAAGTGGCTTCCTAACTGAAATTGAATAAGAATACAAACCAGTAGATGAAAACAATGCTTTTTATTACAACTTCAGCCCTCTCAAGGGAAGTCTGCTCTCAGACAACCAGGACTTGGGCCAAGATGGACCAGAAAAGATGGTTTTATTATATAAGAGAGAGGGTTTCCCATCTTGATGCCTGGCAGTGCATTCAATATATTTTATGTACCACAGTTAAATAATTAACTTTTGAACAAAAGGTTTTGTGGAAATTTTAAAACATCTGAAAAACAAGTTTAGGTTTTATCTTTTTCTCCCCCCATGAATTCTTAAAGCTTCCTTTACCTATCCCATTGTCCTGGAAAATACCTGTTTCCTTTGTATCATATTCAACCAACATCACTATGAAATTAACTAGACTGCCCATATCTATAAAATTGCTTTAAAGAATAAATTACGCTGTTTTTTAAAAAAAATGTTTGAGAAGCAAATTGACAGTATTTTGGCAGTGTTTCATATCTCAGTCTTCAGAAACCTGACTCTAATGGTGAATTATAGATATGCCTCAATTCTTTTGAAAAACCCAGATGCAACACAGGGTGAATTTATAGAGTGGGTATTTGACAAGTCCAGTGTAAAATGCGCTAATGTTACCATTGCTTGTAGAGCTGGTGGACATTGTTGAGAAGTATGATTGCTGTTACAATTAGAAACTTAAGACCCAACTAAAGCGCAGTTATGCTTTCAATACTTCATACTGCTTTATTTTTTTCCTGGATATCTGTATATTTTCAAGTGTTACTCTATCAAAGCAGAGCTATAACCAATGAAAAAAATTGGGAGCAATCACTTTCCCTGCTAATAGTGCCCCAGCAGACAAACATGGTGAACATTCCCAAAAACTGTGGCGTTTCTTATAAGAAGTGGGGCACAGAGTGACAAAAAGGGCAAAGATTCTTTGTATGTCCAGGGAAAGTGGCCTTTGATGTGGAAATGTTGAGGTTTGGAGCAAACAGTCCAGAAAGAATTCTTGAGATGTCTTCTGTGCAAAAAGGTGGTTTTATTAAAGCACAGGGACAGGACCCATGGGCAAAAAGAGCTGCATTGGGGTCGTGAGGAGTGGCCGATTATATACTTTCAAGTTGGGGGTAGGGGTTAGGGATAGTGTAAGTCTCTAAGGAATTTGGAAGTGAGGTTTCCAGGACCTTGAGGCGTCCTTTACTACGGTCTAGTAAAGTCTTAGTCATGAGACCCTTCAAGATGTATATCAGTGGGCCATATGCTTGGAGGATGATTGCTAACATATATCTTGGGGGGTAGAGTTAAAGGAAGTTTCCAAAGGGGTTTTATATGTTAAAGTAGACTTTTAGGATCCTGGAGGTCAGGATAATGTTAAGCTAAGATTGCCTTTTGCCCTTAGCAAAGTATTAACACTAAGGCAGTTGAGTTCCTAGATGAAGGTCACTCTGCCTGTCTCAAGGACTTGTCAGTGGGTTGTAAGTTATAAGGAAATTTAATTTTTTTTCTTCTGCCTTTGTTCCCCACATCAGCCTTATTACAGGAAGCAGAGAGGTTATGGTGGCAGACTAAGCATGTTTTCTGGGAAAAAGCTAAAACTACAAAGGAGATGGTGCTGATGCCTGAATGCATTGAGCCCAACTGCAGATCTAGACAGTGCTGGCCATTAAGACATTTTAAACTGGGAGGTGGCAAGAAGAAAAAGGGTCAACTGATCCAGTTCTAAGCCTCATCTCTTGTTTAATATGAAGACAATAAAATCTTGAGGTTATGTTCACTTCCAAAAAAAAAAAAAGGAAATTGAAGTAATCACAAATGCAGTCAAAGGCTGGAGAAATTATTTTTTCTGGGGGTGGGTGTATGTGGATAGAAATAACTGTCAAAATACTATCTAGGAAGTTATAATCATTCAGACAGGAGGACATCTTGACTAAGTCTTGTGGTACATGGGCTATGGAGTTCAGTGGGATCTTCCTAAAACTTATTTAGGAGAAAGTAGTAAAGTAAAGTACAAAATTGAGATAATGCAGGCTTTATGGGCCTTAAAATCTTCCATTTATGTTTGTAGATCAGTGTGTGGATCTTCAGAATGGCATTTTCCCACTGTCCATTTGGAGTACAATAAGACAAATTAATACAAATCAAAATAATATGGCAGCAGCATCCCATAATTTGTGTACACTGATGTAGTAACAGATTTAATTTAGTGCAGCTTTTGAGAAGTCTTTTGTGTTTCAATTTATACAGCTGCTATCCAGGCCTAAGCTGGCCAATCTCTCAGCCTTGAGTGTCTTGTCTGACTGATTCTCTCTCTTTTTTAGACTTTTTTTTTTTTTTCAGTATCAGTTTTAGATTCATAGCAAAATTGAGAGGAAGGTACAGAGATTTCCCATATTCTCCCTACTCCCCCTCCCCCACACATGCATGGATTCCCCTGTTTTCAGTATCCCCCACCAGAGTGGTACATTTGTTAGAACTGATGAACCTATGTGGACTCATTATAATTACCTAAAGTCCATGCTTTACATTTGGGTTCACTCTTGAACTATGGGTGTGTATGTATAATGAATGACGTGTATCCATCATTATAGTATCATACAGAGTATTTTCACTACCCTAAAAATCCTCTGTGCTCTGTCTGTTCCCTCCTCCCTGCCTCCCCACCCTTTGTCTACTGCTGATCTTTTTACGGTTTCCATAGTTTTGCCCTTTCCAGAATGTCATATAGTTAGAATGTCTGACCTTATAATATGCAGCTTTTTCAAATTGGCTCTTTCACTTAGTTACATGCATTTAAATTTTCTCCATGTGTTTTCATGGCTTGATAGCTCATTTCTTTTTAGTGCTGAATAATATTCCATTGTCTAGATATACCAATTTATTTGTCCATTTTGCCTACTGAAGGATGTCTTGATGGCTTTCAAGTTTTGGCTATTATGAATACAGCTCCTGTAAACATCTGAGTACAGGGTTTTTTTGTGGATTTAAGTTTTCAACTCCTTTGGGTAAATACCAGGGAGCATGATTCCTGGATATATAGTAACAGTGTGCTTAGTTTTGTAAGAAATTGCCAAACTGTCTTCCAAAGTGGTTTTACCATTTTACGTTCCCGCCAGGAATGAATGAGAGTTCCTGTTGCTCCACATTCTGGTTAGCATTCTTGGTGCTCTGAATTTTGGCCATTCTAATAGGTGTATAGTGGTATGCCATTATTGTTTTACCTCATGACATACGATATAGAGATTTTTTCATATGCTTCTTTGCCATCTGTATATTTCTTTGCTGAAGTGTCTGTTAAAGTCTTTGGCCCATTTTTAAATTGGATTGTTATCTTGTTATGAGTTTTAAGAGTTCTTTGTATATTTTGTACAATAGTCCTTTATCAGATGGTCTTTTGCAAATATTTTCTCCCATTCTGTGTCTTGTCTTCTAATGATGCCATGGCATTGGCTTTCACAGAACAAAAGTTTTAAATTTTAATGAAGTCCAGCTTATCAGTTATTTCTTTCACAGATTGTTCTTTTGGTGTTATATCTAAAAAGTCATCACCAAACACAAGATTATATAGGTTTTCTTCTATATCTTTTATGTTTCTTCTATGTTACCTTCTAGGAGTTTGATAGTTTTGTGTTTTACATTTACAACTGATCCATTTTGAGTTGGAAGGGCGTAAGGTCTTTTACATTTTTCTTCAGATTTCTTCTTTGACCCATATGTTAGAAATGTATTGCTTAATCTCCGTGTATTTTAGAATTTTCCTATTATTTTTCTACTACTGATTTCTAGTTAAATTCTGTTGTTGTCTAGAGCAGACATTGTATGATTTCTTTTAACTTTGTTAAGATGTGTCTAATGGCCTGGAATGTGGTCTGTTTTGGTGAATGTTCCATGTGAACCTGATAAGAAAGTGTATTCCACTGTTGAATGAAGTATTCTCTAAATGTCAATTATGGCTAGTTGATTGTTAGCGTTGAGTTCAATATGCCGTTACTGATTTTTCTGCCTGCTGGATCTGTCCATTTCTGTTAGGGGGATATTAGAGTCTCCAACTATGATAGTGGATTCATCTATTTCTCTTTATATTTCTGTCAATTTTAGTATCATGTAGTTTAGTTTGATATTCCGTTGTTAGGTGCACATGCATTAAGGATTGATTCTTCTTGGAGAATTGACTCCTTTATCATTATGTAATGCCCTTCTTAATCTCTGATAACTTTTCTTTGAAGTCTTCTGTGTCTGAAATTAATACAGCTCCCATGCTTTCTTTAGTGTTAGCATGTATATTTTTTGCCATCCATTTACTGTTAATCCATATGTCTTTATATATATATATTTAAAGATTTTATTTATTTATTTGACAGAAAGAGACATAGCGAGAGAGGAACACAAGCAGGGGGAGTGGGAGAGGGAGAAACAGGCCTTCTGCTGAGCAGAGAGCCTGATGTGGGACTTGACCCCAGGGCCCTGGGACCATGACCTGAGCCGAAGGCAGATGCTTAACGACTGAGCCACCCAGGTGTCCCGTGTCTTTATATTTAAAGTGGGTTTCTTGTAGACAACATGTAGTTGGGTCTTATATGTTTTGATCCACTCTGACCATCCCTTTAAATCTTTCTTTTTTTAAAAAGATTTTATTTATTTGACAAAGACACAGCGAGAGAGGGAACACGAGCAGGGCAAGTGGGAGAGAGAGAGAAGCAGGCTTCTCACCGAGCAGGGAGCCCTATGCGGGCCTCGATCCCAGGACCCTGGGATCATGACCTTAGCTGAAGGCCCACGCTTAACGACTGAG